CGGCTGTTAGAAAGGTAGAATTGCTTTCTTATTTTCTGACGGGCCAAGTTTCAAAGATCCTGTTTGTGTTTTTCATACACAAATTGTTTATTTGTGTTTATGCATGCAATCATAAGTTTTAGAGGCCGGTTTGCAAAGATCCAGTGTTTTTTCATTCATACACAAATGTTAAATATGTTTATTCATGTCTATGCATAAGTTACATGCATGTAGCACAGACATTAACTCATAATGGTTAGATAGATGATAAGGATCTAACTCTTGATCAGCTATCAAACGTGTTAAACTATACCTGTGGAGTTGAAACGTACGTTTATGGCACGGGGCGGCGTGGTCCTTGTTAGAAGGTCCGGGTTAGAATGAGCCTTCAGTAACCCATGCTTGTCGTAAGAGGCGACTAACGGGATCGAGTGGTCAGGCTCGCTGGCTTTGTTGACACATGTCATCGGTTCCCAATTGCGCAGATCGATGCTCATGCTGTTGATCACTGGCTTGTCTGTTTCAGACTCGATTATTTACAGACCGCCGCCATATTGCTGGAATATTCCTGAGTGCGGTGTAAAACTAAACTCACTCACTGTTAATAGAATCAAAGCAATCCTAATTGGAAACCATGTGACGTTAGATTGACCATACTTCCCGTTATTGTTGATACACACATTTCTGTTCATTCCGTTCGCATTGCATGTCAATTTCAGGTTTGTTTGTGTCAGTCAGAGGAACATGAGTTACAGCTACAACTGTCCATCATTTCTGACGTGAGACACGTGAGATCCGGGTTGGAATTGATCTTCAGTAACCCGTGCTTGTCGTGACCCGTGAAGATCCGCGTTGGAATTGATCTTCGGTAATCCATGCTTGTCATAAAAGGCGACTAACGGGGACGGGTGGTCAGGCTCGCTGACTTGGTTAGCACATATCATCGTGTCCCATTTGCATAGATCGATGCTCATGCTGTTGATCAGAGGACTGTCTGGTCAAGATTCGTTTATTTACAGGCTGCCTCCATATAGGTGGAATATTGCTGAGTGTGGCGTCAACCAACCAATGTTTCTGACGTGCGTCCACTTTTGGGTAATATCAGGGTTAATTCCAGAGCACAGAGCTATTCAAAAGCATCTCATATTTGATCTTGTGATTTTGCAGATTTGCGGTCTGTAGGTAAGGTGACGAAATACGAAATTATCAATTTTCAAACAAATTGTATATTGATATACAATGGACTCTGTATAATCCGGCATCTGAATTATCCGACAATCTGTGAATTCCGACATATTTTTTGGGTCCCGGCAGCGTTCTTATTCAAACATTGAATTATCCGACATCTGTACATTCCGAATTCCGACACCATTTTCTGGTCCCAATGACACTATTAATCTGTACAATCCGACATCCTCTCCACTTAATAGCTATTAAGCATTAATTTCATGACATAAGCCAGTTACAGTGTATGGTACTGTTTGAAAAGTATTCAAGCAAGGAGACATTGAATTATCCGACACTCTGTACAATCCGACATTTTTTCCCGGTCCACTGTACGTATTTCGGTTGTTTTCATTTTCTTCTTTTGTGGAATGGATTCAATCCATCGTGGTGGTGGAGAATTCATGGACTGGGTATCTGTGTGATTATCCAGTAACAATTTCAGTTATATCATCTTATTGTTTTCACGAAGTTCACTAATTGACCATGAAGGCATCCAGTGCCTTCGATTAACGATAAACATTAATCATGTTCAGAACATTTTATTGATTACAGATTACAGAACAATGCGTTCTACGAATCTTGCTTCTTTTTGCGAAAACATTTTTAGAAACTAAAATTTTTCTGGGTTTTCCTGCAGTTGGTGTCTTTCCATCTTGTGCGACTTTGGATGATCAAATACTAGTAAGCTTAATGTTGGCCCGAGATGTACATTTCAACAATTTGTGCATTAGAATTCAAATATTTTGTCAAAACATTTTGACCTTTAAAAAGCCTGTATTATACTTCGTCTTATATTATTACTAAACAATGATACTTTCAGTGTTTAAAACTCCCCAGATCCCAGGCCAGACAGCCGGACTGGTAACTTTCAGAGATTACCAGCCCGGATTCAAACTTGCCTGTCCGGTTTCCAACAATACAAAACAAACACAAACACGTTTCTGAATACTTTACTGTGTGTACAATGTACATGAACTACATAGCACTAACAGGCAATGCACCGAGTTTAGGTAAACTGAAAGTGCATGTGTTGTGATTGGTTATTGTAAAATGAACTGTCCAAAGGTAAATAGTTTAACATAATTATCATTATACCTTAGGCTTTGTTTCTGGAGCACAACTCAAAAATCGTTCAATATCCTTCAACAAAACTTGGCAGATATATCAAACAGATCCCGAAGTGGCGCTATTTTGCTGTTTGTGGACTTTTGGCATTTATATTTGTCATGATATCAGTGGAAACTATTTGGACTTGGTCTAAAAGAATCAAGTTTGACTTTAAGTTACTGTCAGATGATTTGGTGTGTTTGTTTTTTTGCAAATTTGTGGGGGCCGGGTTGATTTGTCATCTTCTGATGACTCTTGTTGTAATATGTTCTCCAGTGTCTCCTATTACCGGTAAAGGTGAAATAATATTAGTACCACTAATCGTTTTCACCTTGTACCAGATACTTGTTAATTGTGTCAATCTATTGATATTAGAAATATATTCTCGCCAGCATGATCGTTTAGTACGCAGAACAATACGCTTAGATAATATCTCGTTTCCTACGAACGTCAGCCAAATCACAGGGTAGTGACGAGTGTTTAAACCTTTACAATTGTCATTGCACCAAGTCTTTGGAAAGAATGCCGATTTATTTTCAACTGTTGCTTTTCCAGTGGTCTCTTCTGCAATTCATATTATTTGTGTTGTGACATTTTCATTAGACATATCAACATCACCATTTATAAGATCAGATGGGGTATGTTCAGAGCACAGAAAAGAACAATGTGCCTAATTAGTCTTCTTGAATTTCCACCGGGAGACATTATCCCAAGAAACACGATGTAGTCGAACCTTAAAATGCGATAAAATGGTCACAACCTAAAACATCTTACGGAAATACATATCAGTTACATTTACAGGCTATTGATGATGATATCATTGAGAGATCGAAAGAAGAACAATTCCGTTTGCCAAGCCCCTTGCGAATCATTTTTCCATTATTCAAAGGACAAGATCTGCTTCGTCTAAAACAGTGAAAAACTTACCGAGTTGAATAATTTGACCATTTTAATCCGTTTTCTTACTTCCCCAAAACATATTGTGGCTGTTAATGTTCCTGCCTATGAAATACGGAACTTCACTGGGTTCAATAAATGTCAGATATTCATCTACGTTTACCTGTAATATAGATATTAACAATAGTAATGTTTTTATCTTCCCCATAATGAATACTTTCTGCATACACTGTTTTCGGAACCATTTAGGAACCATATACGACAAATCAGACTTACAGCACAACCACCAGTCGGAGGACTGCTAGTATTCGGATTGCTTGTAAGTCTGCCCTGTCCTAGACCAAGCCAGGGTCTCTAGCATGGTGACCTACCTTCAGTTTTGGCGATCTATAGCCCGTTTCTATATTGTATTGTTGTTTTACGTCTAATCGTTAAACGAAACAGGATTTAAAACGCATAAATACTTCAGTCAATCCCGATAAACAATTCTGTCGACCCGAAAGTGTTTTTACATCTGTAACCTATCAAATACCACCCTAGAAGGTCACCGTTCATAAACCAGACTCTATTAAATTTAAAAGACAAAACTATTCGTAATCACTACTACCTGCTCACCCGTGAAGATCCGGGTTAGAATTGATCTTTAGTAACCCATGCTTGTCGTTAGAGGCGATTGACTGGATCGGGTGGTTGCTGACACATGTCATCGTATGCCAATTGCGTAGATCGATGCCCATGCTGTTGATCACTGAATTGTCTGGTCCAGACTCGATTATTTACAGACCGCCGCCATATAGCTGGAACAATGCTGAGTGCGGTGTAAAACTAAATTCATTCACTCACTACTACCTTCTCATGGCTTAATAAAGAAGTTCGATTAATTCCAGTCTGTCCACATGGCGGTTAGACCTTTACGTCTGAGTTCGTGTTATTTATCTATGATTTCTGAAGCTATTAAATAGTAAAATATATCTTTTTACACAGGTTAGATTATGCTATCATTATACCATGGAGCTTACGTTTACTACGAGGTGAGGTGAGGTGAGGTGAGGTGAGGTGAAATTGGGTTTTACGTCGTGCTTGAGAATATTCCGCTCATATGACGACGTGCGTGCGTGTGTATGTGTATGTGCGGCTGCTTGTACTAGCCCAGACTTAAGCTGGTTTTATATAGTGCTAGCCCACTAGTACTGAGATACCATTCCGCAGTGAAGCATGAATACCCCACTCAGACACAGTAAACTCATCTATGTTTTAATCATATATTTTATATATTTTATGCACATATTGTCTAGTGTGTCTCATTGGCCATCTGGCCTGGTGTTGTATTTTTCTATGTTCTTTTACCGCTGCTATTTTTGACATGTACATTCACGTGATACATAAATAAACTATTTTGTCTGTCTGCCTGTCTGTCAGTATACTGACTCCGAGCCGACAAGTCCTTGTTGTACGCATTAATGCCGGGCGCCAGGCAAGGACCAACAAGTACCATATTTAACGTCTTTTGGTATGACGCGGTCGGGGATCGAACCCGCGACCTTCCACTCTCCGGGCGGAGGCTCTAACCACTACACCACGGAGGCGGTCACGTTTACTACGATTGTTGATATAGAGACCTGTAGCTGTTGCAGCGTACAGGAATATTCAAGTTAAAGCTTTGCCCAACAGATCAGAAAATGTTTCCGCACATATTCGGAAATGGTTATGAATATGGTATAACAAAAGATTATTTGTGTTTTAACTTTCTCAGACATGGGCATTGCTCGTCGATGAGGTCAAAGACACACTGGAAATCAGCCTTAGCGTCTACCAGGAGGTCTAGGAGATTCTGAAGCTTGTCGGGAAGCTCATTAGGCCCAGGAACAGATCCCAGGGATGGCACAAGAACAGCCAGGAGAACCAAGAAGAGTCTGCTGTCGAACATCGTCATGTTGATTCCGAGTGACTTATCAGATCATCGTCAAGGGTTATTATAGGCAGCGAAAACTTAGGTGGACCAATGAAAATACCGACGTGTGTCGAATAATATCACCCACTCGCCATGCTGCTTTCTATTGATCATTTTAAACATTTCAGTAAAGATACTTGCAAACCTCAGCCTATTTGTAAACAGTAAAACAGATGTTGAATATCACATGACCATATTGATTTTCAAGTTTGAGAAAGTTTTTCATAAATTTCTCGTCTTCTTGCACCTACTAAACTTTAAGATTGAAATTGCACGAGATAAAAGTCGTTATTACAAATCAAATGAGAGGACACATCTCATGGACTACAGCTTATTGTTGGTGGTAGATCTGCAGAAATCACATCTAGTTGTTAATGTCACTTGAATTGCCGTTTCATTTCAAGAACTTACTGGCAGATAAGGACTTTAATATGTTAACATTTACAACAGTTGAAGTCCAAAGATATATATGAGTCTGATACATAAATGGGCAATGGTCATGTAGATAAATGTGGTACTCGTTTTCCATTATCTATAAATGACACATTTTACAGTGTACGCTCTTTGACATTTCCATACCATCTTCTTTCAGTATTCCAAACAGTGCGTGATGAGTGTCTACATGTACAAAGGACAATTGTATATATACAGAGGTGGTTTCTTAATAGATTAAGATTATTAAGTTCTTGACGCAAGTTTGAGTTCATGATGGCTTCGATCGTTCTTGTCAAAGCGACTGGAAAAATGGAAACTCCTGTCAGTTACATAAATATAACTATGTATAATTATATACATTTATTCACCCTCGGAACACACACAAAAAACCCACAACAACACACACACAAAAACACACACACAAACACACACAAACACATACATACATACATACATACACACATACAGACATACATACATACATACATACATACATACATACATACATACATATACATACATACATACATACATACATACATACATACATACATACATGCATGCATGCATGCATGCATACTCGTAAATAATTTGATATAATAAAAATATTGTTTTGCACAATCCCCCATCTCTGTCAACATGCAACAGGTGTACAGCAGCTGCCAGGATGTGGCTAGGTCCTTCTCTCCATGTAGCAATGCATCGATATACATACACGGGAAAAAGAATCATATGCAGTTACATTACACATTTGTCTTTCACAACATACTGAATTATAAGACACAAAACACACACACACACACACACACACACACACACACACATTGACTCACTCACTCACTGACCAAAAATAAGGACTCGTAACGTCATAAATAGACTCGTGATCCGTTTGTATATAGGAACTGTGGTGAAAGAAAAATGGATAAAAATGGTTTGTTCATTACGACCTGCTTTAGTTTTGGTGTGCATCTTTATTACAAAAATCGAACAGGGCCTCCTTTCACAAAGCACTTAGGTGATCGTAAGTCACTAAGGTAACCTTAGTGCAATGTTAAAGAATGGGAGTTAAGGTTAACCTTAGTAAAGGTTGCTTCGTGAAAGGAGCCCCAGGTTGATAGCTGTCATAATGACCTAGGTATATAATAGGAGGGAGTAATATATATTTATAGATGTTCTTGCGTACTGATTCCCAAGTTTTAACAATAAGTTAAGATCGGTTTGTAACAGAATTCCCTTGACACTAACAAAAAATCAATGTTATCTGCTTAACAGAAGAACTTTAACATTAACTAAGTTTACAACTGTACAGGTCAATGTAAATCACAAATGGTCTTCTTGTAATGAACGAAATAATGTGACATCTCAGTCAGAAGAAGGTGCCTCTTATATACTGTGTAACTCTTCTAGAACTTTCAATATAATAATGGATCAGAGTATCTTGGATAATCATGGTTGTACGTTGGAACTCTTAGTCCAAAATATGGCACAACTATATATATGGAACCACAGAACAGCACTGCCCCTACTAAAGCCAAAAGAAACAATGTAATACACTTAAATCACACTTCCTCAATGAAGAACACAGTCATATTACAATATTCGCAGGTCCGTTTCATCCATTACAACAGTTCTCCATAACCTTGTACATACATACATACATACATACATACATACATACATACATACATACATACATACATACATACATACATACATACATACATACATACATACATACATATATATATATATATATATATATATATATATATATATATACGGAGATTTCTGTATACTTGTAGCAATATTCAAGCAATATCACGGCGGGGGACACCAGAAATGGGCTTCACTCATTGTGGCCATGTGGGGAATCGAACCTGGGTCTTCGGCGTGACGAGCCAACGCTTTAACCACTAAGCTACCTCACCGCCCTCATAAAACTGAACCGAAACGGCATTTTCTTTTGCTACCCAGGACCAATCACTTCCTACTCGCAATGGCCAAAATGTGATTCTTGAAGAGCATCAAATTCGCTGAGACTGTTCATCAAAGAAGGACTGTTAGTTGATGTCCATACTTGCCACAGACAACCAGGGGCGTAGCTACCATTATAAAAAGCCCGGGCTTACACATAATTGTTTCTAAAAAGGGTGGGCAGGCCCTCAATACTATCAAAATATAAAGCTTTGCAACCTATCGGGCTTACACGAAAACATTGGCTCGCTAGGCGCCTGACAACATATCCCAAACGATATGATGGCATGGCTTATTGTTATACGTACCGTCTTCGCCATGGCTGTGGCTTTGACTCCGAGGTCCATACGTGGTATGACCCAGAACATGTCCAGGACGTCATGGAAAATCATGCTTTTAAACTTCCTTGGAATAGGCCCATATGCAGTCAAAGAAAAATTCCTCGTAACAAACCCGATCTTTTCTTTTTTGATGAAGCCAATGAATTTATTTATGTTATTGAATTTCTGTCCCTTTGGCAGCAAGATTCAGTAAGAGACACTGTCGCCAGACTCCCCCAATGTCCTTGGTGCCCTGGTCTCGTCACGATATGGCTGAAATATTGCCGATGTGACAATAAATTTTAACCCACTCACTCACCTTGGTGCCCTTGGTTTGGTACCTCCTGACCTCTTGGCGCAGATCACGAGAGTGCCCGGGTTCTCCACCGGGAGCACAGATCTTCTGACATTCTAGGTAATGCAGAAGGCTGCAGTGATGGGGAGCCGTCATATCTTCCGGAAAGTTCTTGGGGGGTTCGACTCCTGGGACAAGTCCCTTCGCTCTCTGGGCTGCATGTAGAGGGGGCAAGGGGTTTATCAGCCTGAGTGTGCCAGGATCACCCGAACCTTCTCTGCTGCATACTATTTGAGTAATAATAATAAAAATATTTCAGTGTTTGTAGCATATTGATTGTATATTTTCATGTTGCCTTTTCGATATTCCCACAGCACTCGTAACTAAAATGTGTTCAAGATAGATATTCTCGAAACTTTCGTAGTCCTACGAACTTCTTAAGCCCATTGGCTACGATCAAAGTTAAGAATTCTTAGGGCTACGAACGTTCGAGAATAAGGGTCCAGATTATTAAAGCTAACATTTAACAATCAAATAAATTCATTCAGATTTTTTTCGACACAATTGCATGAATAGTTTTATGTTTCGAGATCATGTCATAAAGACATGGCAAAGCTGAAAAGTCAAATATATTTGTCATTTTGACGAGATGTAACAGAAAATAACCCAGAATGGATGTTGATTACCCGAGAAAATATTGCTGCATACTATTTTAATCTGTAAACCATAATATTAATATTGTAATTTCTGCAGCCAGTTAATCGTATATGTTGCCTTTTCGATATATTCATTGCATTCGTAATTGAAATCTTTTCAACTTATTCGTACTAAAATTTAAAAACCCAAATATATTCAATCAATACAATTTCGACACAATTAGATGAAAAGTTACTTCATTTGATGTTTGGCTAGCATCTCATAAAGACATGGAAAAGCTGAAAAGTCATTTTGAAGAGGTGTGAACTGACTCGGATTTCTTGTCGATTACCTGAGAATATATTGTTTCCAAAGTCGATAATTCGTAGGTTATAATTTCATATCTGTAGATCTGCATAGATCAAATTAAGTATTATCCACATAACGGTGAAAACGCGCTCCCATATTTACTCGACACAGGTGTTACAGAAGTAACAGTGCAAATACCAAATATGATTTTATAATTTATTGTTGTGGTGGAGCAGCTGCAATATGTTGTACTCCTGGCGAGTATGTGTAACTAAAGCTATGTATTTTTAATGCCGAGAAAATACCTCGCCACACATGCAATGTTAAATGCCCACAATGCCATTTGTTCAGCTTCAATAATGTCTAAGAATATACGTAAGATACAAGACAAGGATTCATCATCTTTGATGTAAAAGAGAAATTTCATCGATCAGCTTCCTTTGTCGTGCCAGCAGAACGATTATCGTTACAACAATGGCTGATTACTTCCTCTTCAATCACAGGTCATGTTCACACATCATGGGCCATGTTCACATATCACAGGTCATTTTCACACATCACAGGCCATGTTTACACATCAAAAACCATGTTTCCACATCATGGGCCATCTCCACATAGCATAGGCCATGTTCACATATCACAGGCCATGTTCACATATCACGGGTCATGTTCACGGGTCATGTTCACATATCACGGGTCATGTTCACATATCACGGGTCATGCTCACACATCACGGGTCATGCTCACATATCACGGGTCATGCTCACATATCACGGGTCATGCTCACATATCACAGGCTATGTTCATAAATCACGGGCCATGTTCACATATCACAGGCTATGTTCATAAATCACGGGCCATGTTCACATATCACAGGCTATGTTCATGTATCACAGGCCATGTTCACATATCACAGGCGATGCTCACACTTCATGGGCCATGTTCACATATCACAGGCCATGATCACATATCACAGGCCATGATCACATATCACAGGCCATGATCACATATCACAGGCCATGATCACATATCACAGGTCTTATTGACTTATCATGGGCCATGTTCATACATCACAGGCCACTATGCCATCTCTTGGCCACGAAGCCATCACTATGTCCACTATCACACCTCACTGCCCTTATTCAGCTTCATGTCAACTATTCAATATCATGGACACTATCACTCATGACCTCTGTCCGACTTCATGGCGCCTGTGCCACAAGATCGCCATGTTTCCCTGCCCAGTGTCATACCACCAACGTCACCATATAGCCACCAACATCACCAAATAACCACCAACGTCACCATATAGCCGCCAACGTCACCATATAGCCACCAATGTCAGCATATAGCAGCCAACGTCACCATATATCCACCAACGTCACCATATAGCCACCAATGTCACCATATAGCCACCAATGTCACATATAGCCACCAAAATCGCGACGTCACCATATAGCCACCAACGTCACCGTCCACCAAAATCACCATATAGCCACCAATGCCACCACGCATCCGACAACGTCTCATATAGCCACCAACGCCACCATATAGCCACCAACGTCATATATATAGCCACCAACGTACGTCACCATACGCCACCAAAATCACCATATAGCCACCACAAGCCACCAGTGTCAGCATATAGCCGCCAACGTCACCATATAGCCACCAACGTCACCATATAGCCACCAACGTCACCATATAGCCACCAACGCCACATATATAGCAATCGACCAACGTCACCATATAGCCACTAAACGTCACATATAGCCACATATAGTCACCATATAGCCACCAAAATCGCCATACCATATAGCCACCAACGTCACCATATATAGCCACCAACGTCACCATATAGCCACCACGTCGTCCTCCATATATATAGCCACCAACGTCACGTCGTCACCATATAGCCACCAACGTCACCATATAGCCACCACCGTCGTCACCATATAGCCACCAACGTCACCATATATAGCCACCAACGTCACACCATATAGCCACCAACGTCACCATATATAACCACCAACGTCCCATATAGCCACCAACGTCACCATATAGCCACCAACGTAACGTCACGTCACCATATAGCCACCAACGTCACCATATAGCCACCAACGTCACCATATAGCCACCAACGCCACCATATGGCCACCAACGCCACCGTATAGCCATATATAGCCACCAACGTCACCATATAGCCACCAACGTCACCATATAGCCACCAACGTCACCATATAGCCACCAACGTAACGTCACGTCACCATATAGCCACCAACGTCACCATATAGCCACCAACGTAACGTCACGTCACCATATAGCCACCAACGTCACCATATAGCCACCAACGTCACCATATAGCCACCAACGTCACCATATAGCCACCAACGTCACCATATAGCCACCAACGTCACCCATATAGCACCACGTCATATAGCAACCAACGTCACCATATAGCCACCAACGTCACCATATAGCCACCAACGTCACCATATAGCCACCAACGTCACGTCACCATATAGCCACCAACGTCCACAATATAGCCACCAACGCCCTCAATATAGCCACCAACGTCACCATATAGCCACCAACGTCACCATATAGCCACCATACGTAACAATGCCGTCACCATATAGCCACCAACGTCACCATATAGCCACCAACGTCACACATATAGCCACCAACGTCACCATATAGCCACCAACGTAACGTCACGTCACGATATAGCCACCAACGTCACCATATAGCCACCAACGTCACAATATAGCCACCAACGTCACCATATAGCCACCAACGTAACGTCACGTCACCATATAGCCACCAACGTCACCATATAGCCACCAACCACCAACGTCCACGTCACCATATATAGCCACCAACGTCACGTCACCATATAGCCATCACGTCATATAGCCACCAACGTCACCATATAGCCACCAACGTCACCATATAGCCACCAACGTCACCATATAGCCACCAACGTCACCATATAGCCACCAACGTCACCATATAGCCACCAACGTCAGCCACCAACGTAACGTCCATATAGCCACCAACGTCACCATATACCAACCACCATGTAGCCACCACGTCACGTCACCATTAGCCACGTCACCATATAGCCACCAACGTCACCATATAACGTCACGTCACCATATAGCCACCAACGCCACCATATATAGCCACCAACGTCACCATATATAGCCACCAACGTCACCATATAGCCACCAACGTCACTCACCATATACGTCACGTCACCAACGTCACCATATAGCCACCAACGCCCTCGTCACGCACCATATAGCCACCAACGTCACCATATAGCCACCAACGTAACGTCACGTCACCATATAGCCACCAACGCCACCATATAGCCACCAACGTCACGTCATATAGCCATATACGCCACGTCATATAGCCACCAACGTCACCATATAGCCACCAACGTCACCATATAGCCACCAACGTCACCATATAGCCACCAACGTCACCATATATATAGCCACCAACGCCACCATATAACCACCAACGTCACCATACAGCCACCAACATCACCATATAGACACCAACGTCACCATATAGCCACCAACGTCACTGTATAGCCACCAACGTCACCATATAGCTACCAACGCTAAGTCATGGCTACTGCCCATCAATTGGCAACTATACCTCGCCATCTCACAGACATCTATCCAATCCCATGGTCGCTATCCCGCCTAATGACCACTGTCCCACCTTGTGGCCATACTTTCATACCTTACAACCACCCACTCGACAACTCTTCGTGATCTTACTTACCTTCTCATGGCCACCTGCGTCATATCAGTATCATCCATCGTTGTCACTATCCAAGCTCAAGATGCCACTATCCTACCTAATCCAACCTTATGACCACTATCCCACCCGACGGCCATACATTTCTCCACACTTTTTGACATTACAGTTACTTTCCTAACTCAATGGGCACCAATCCTATCCCATGATCACTGATACAACTTCATTGCCATACTTACAACCATACATCTCATCTCATCTCATCGCCATACTTACAACCACACATCTCATCTCATCTCATCGCCACAACCACACGTCATAGCCTCTATCCAACATCATGATAATTCATCTCTCCTGATTTCTACCATCCCACCTCAAGACCTCCCAGATTGTTGTGAAAGACAAACGTGTAATGTATCTGCATAGTTTTCTCTCGTTCACGTGTATTGATGCATTGCCACATGGGGAGAAGGACCAAGCCACACCTAGCAGCTGCTGTACGCCTCCTGCTGCATGTTGACAGAGATGTGGATTGTGCAAAATAATATTTTTAATATTTCAAAGTATGTATGTATGTATGTATGTATGTATGTATGTATGTATGTATGTATGTATGTATGTATGTATGTATGTATGTATGTATGTATGTGTGTGTGTGTTGTATGTGATGTGTGTGTGTATGTATGTATGGATGGATGGATGGATGGATGGATGGATGGATGGATGCATGCATGCATGCATGTATGATCATTACATGGAACATGTAACTTTATCAAGAAGAAAAGAGGAATTCGTCGATCGTAATGTTAAAGTCATTCATAAATGAACGGATAAGATATATCAAAAACACACAATTATAACACAACTAAGAATTATCGTCTCATCAGATCTAGTATGCGCAGTTTGGGATATTCAAAAACGTTTTGTTTAAATATTGGACGGAGGACACCACAAATGGGCCCCCATCAAAAGGCATTACTGCAACATGGAATCTGCAGTGTCGCTTATCTGGGTCTGGGTGAGTGAGTAAGTGAGTTTAGTTTTACCCCGCATTCAGTAATATTCCAGCAATATCACAGCGGGGACACCAGAAATGGGCTTCACACATTGTTTCAATTTTGGGAATCAAACCCGGGTCTTCGGCATATTTTGCTCATATGACGACGTGCATCCGTGTGTATGTATGGCTGCTTGTACTAGCTCAGACGTAAGCTGGTTTTATAGTTGTAGCTCACTGAGATACCATGCCGCAGTTAATCATGAATACCCCACTCAGACACATTGTACTGACTCCGAGCCGACCAGTCATTGTTGTATCCAATAATGCCGAGCGCTAGGCAGGGACCAACAAGCTCCATATTTTAACGTCTTTGGGTATGACGCGACCAGGGATCGAACCCGCGAAATTCCGGCTTACTTTGAACATAGTTACGGCGAATATGGATATAAACGGCTGGTCAAATAGTTTCCTGGCACACCCAAGGAACAGAACTATGTCCATCTTATTACAATTCCTCCAATGTATTAATCAATGTATTAATCAGATTTGGCCTCCGTCATTGGATATTAATTAAATACATTGCAATATATCGTTGTTGTTTTATATGTTTTCAATGTGAATTCAATATCATTTCGTGAAAATCCAAAAGAATACTATACCTCCTCAATGAATGTTTGCTACAAACATAAAGAAATGTTACAACACCATACGATTAAAATACAACTGCCGTCTTAAAGGCACTATTTCACACTTCTCTATATATGGAATGCACTGTTCTCAATAAAACTAACTTTCAGCCCTCAGGGAAGCTACCATATAATATTTAGATTACAATATTAAATAAAAAAAAGTTCGAATGAATTAATGCAACGCTGCATTAAATCGACTCTCACGCCCTCTACCGGCTGAACATTGTTTCAAGCGAACTCAACAGCGTTATGTACCTTGGAGTGCTCTTAACGAATATCTATTTACGAGACGCAACTCGGTCCAAGACAAAATGACGCTAATGTCTGGCGTAAAAAACATACGCGCAACTTGTGATTGAAACCAGTTCGGCAAACACCGACAACATCGCGGGCGACAGTTTTCGATGTTAAGGGCAATTGTTTACATTCTATAAATGGCAAGTGTTCTCTGTTTGGAAGCTGTTCGCCTCGAAGTTTCAATTACCGATTCCAGGCAAGTCGTAATGGATGATAAGTGTTCTATTGGAAGTTAAAGTGAGTGCATATGCCCAAATATATATAATATATAGAAAATGTGTGAAATTGTGCCTTTTACGGGAGTTTGTATATTAAGTACTGTTCGAAGTGTCAGTGAAATACCAATAACTGACAGATTTGGGCTTTGACATTTGGTATATTTACTTGGTTAGTTGGGTTTGATTAATGCACAAGTTATGTTTGAGATACTTATTGTGACTTACCCAAATATAAACAAAGCATTAATTGGCTGGTTCCGCTGTTGGATAGAAGCACTGTTTATATTCTCTTTATGTTTGAAAATATAAGATATGTTCAAATATTTCACAAACGATGTACGGTGAAATTTTATTCCTGACGCACCTCACCCTGGTTCATGACCTGTCCTTCTACGTGACTTCAAATGCTGATAAGATAGGATGACTGAAAGTAGTGGCATGGCACTGTAGCTCACCTACACCTGTCAACAGTGTGAAATGATAACAGACAGACACTCACCAGAATATGTTGATGTAAACATTGATATTCACATCCATCCCCCAGCCCCCGTAAACGCCTTGGACTGAAAACTAACACTAAAACTTAATGATTTAAACAAAATACTCTCTCGCCATAAGAAAATGTATTTAATTATACACGCCAAAGTGTAGTGCCCACACTCCATCGTTGGCGGTATTTTCAGGTTGGAGGACGTGTACCGAGCTTCCGAAGTTTCAGCAAAATTGGTCCTGTGGTTTCTGAGAAGTCTTTAACAGTGATAGAAACACATTTTAAGAGAATTTGAGGAGCTCGTGCTAATCTGAAATCAACATTTTTAATATCGCAAACCACGGAACATTTGAGTAAAGCCGAACTATTAACTACACAAAAGTCATTAACAGCCATGGCACAAAATGCTTGGGAAGGCTGCAGGGCCCAAATGTCGCTTGAAAACACGTCTCTTCAAAAGCACCTATTACTAACTTTTCAAACCCACAATGTATTTTTGCTTATATTACTTTCTGATTTTATTGTAGCGCCATGAGCATGCGCAAGTGCGTGGGTCCAAGCGCATTATAAATGTCAATTATTATTTTATTATTATTTATGCTACAAGTTCTAATATGATTCCAAGATTGACACATTGCATGAATTTACGGACGAATGTAAATCTAAGTACGTTTCAAACATATGTTTTGCAATATCTGTATGTTTCCTCAATACAGACGTTGTTTCAGGTGAGCTAAAGCCATACGAAATTTCTTATCTGGCACTATCGACAGTAAAAAAGCCAGGTGCTCTATTACCTTCAAATTATTTTAGGTCATGGATGAACACTGTTTAAGGTACGTGTAGAGCCTTTATCCCAACCTTCTTTTACTGTTAATGTTTATTTTGTGTGTTTTACACCTCTATCAACAATATTCAAGTTTTACAATGGCGATCATCAATAATCGAATCTGGACCATACAAGCCAGTGATTGATGGCGCGATATGCTGAAGTCGGCTCACGATAAGATGCAATCATACAACTATCAAGAATATTCAAATTGTATAATGGCAATCATCCATAATGGAATCTGGACCAGACAAACCAGTGATCGATAGTATGAGCAGCGTTATTACTGTTGAAGACAGGTTACGATAACATGCATTCACGCAGGTAAATATAGATGGCAGTACACCACGTTGCAGTAGTTAGTTTTCGGATCGTCATACAGAGTTTATCGGATTGGTATATTTGTGGATATCACCAACCATCCTATGACGTATATCCCTCCAGGGCGTTGCTGGGCTTGTCCATCATCTGGACATCGGTGACCGGGGGACCTGTGGATCAGCACGCCACCAAGGAAACCAGAGCTCTGTATCACAGCATGCTGAAGTTGGCTCGCACCCCCAACAAGTTCATGTTTGGGCACCAAGAAGACACCTGGATAGGAATCTCTCCTGCCCGTGGGAACTACCGGGTTACTCATTACACCTGGCAGTCAGTTTGGAACTTTACGGTAACTGTTACTTTGATTGACATCTTAGAAGTGGATTAGTAATAACAGAGATGAGTTCCTTATTTCGATGTCATAAATGTAGTCAAGAAGTTGTTATCCATAAAGTATCTAACCTTTATCATAATTAAGAACACTTTTTTTCTCGTATGAAAGAAGTATAATTTTACGAACAGGTAATAACAAATTTTGGTCAAAGGAGCATAACATGCCGACATAACGGTAATGATAGCTTGTTGTATACAGGATAACTCTTTTGGATATTATGGGCAAGGTGTTTAGGGAAGGACATTCATAATCAATACAAGACCTGTTTTAGCATTTCAGAAGCTGATTAGTAATAATACGATAACATACGCATTAGTATATACTATGTTATAATGAAATCAATGAAGTTGCTATCAGTAAAGTGTCTTACCTTTATTATAATTAAGAGCACATTCATCAGTAATAATATAGATGAGATTCTTATTACAATGTAGTAACAGTATCTAAACTTTAGTATAATTGATAACACTTTCGTATATTTCATGTAAGAAATTATGTATAATTAGCTCAGGTTAATTTCGTCACTTGTTAATCAACCTAATTCATTAATCATATTAATTTTAAAGCTGGCAGATATTTCTCATAGAGACAGAATCTTATTACGTCAACTATTAGGAAACTGTTGTAAAATTTGTAAAATACCTTTTCTGAAATTCACACACCTGGATTCACTTTTCACTGTGGATAAACAAATTTTGAGCGATTAATAATCTGTGAGATGGAAGAAAAGAATGGTGAGTATATATCTTTAATTTATCATGAATTATTCATACACGCAATGACGACTTGGTGGCTGTATTGTTGGAATTTTCAATGTTCCCGAAATTGTAAAGTGTTATGTTAATTGGTACATTTTACAAACACAAAATCGTGGATAACTAATTTTTTTCGGTCGTCTCAAGAGGTAAACGTATGCATACAGTCTGTCGTTTCGACGGCTGCACGGCAGAAATCAAGGTCTGATAGGTTGTTGTATGCAATATACATTCTCACGTTGGGGGTCCATGCAGTTAACAAAGGTACTGTAAGTCCCCATGGTCCCTGGTATGGTGATCTACCTTCAGTTGTTGGTGATCTATAGCCCGTTTTTATTTTGTGCTGTCTATAGTGATTTAATTTTACGTTAGCGTACTAGTTTTAAATTTATATAGCTGTGATGTTCTAGTATTTTTACTGTCCTTCGATGACACGTATTTATGTTCTAACCTTATTGATTTTCATATTGATATAAACTAGATGGTTCTCGTCACGATATGGCTGAAATATTGCCGATGTAACGCTAAATAATAACTCACTCACTCACTCTCACGTTGGGTACTTATAAATGGGTTATTTGGATACTGTGGTTATGCATTTCAACGAGGACAAGGATTAATTTGTTTTACGGAAGTTTCCACAAAGGGAACAGAACTATGTCTTGTTACAGGGTTAAGCGATCTTTTTGTGAACAACAGATAAGGTCCAGCTGAGATTTCAGGGAGGGACATTAGATGATTTAAATGTATTCAACTTAATTCGGAAATCGCCAGCACACCCAGCCAACCGATATCTATCGGATTGGTGATTGGTGCTAAATTCACTGGCACATTATTAAGAACAACAAAAGAATTACCAAACATTTCCATTGTCGGAATATAAGTCTACTGAAAGTGTCACAGGATCAAGTGACAGTTGGTGACGAATCTAGATCGCAACCAGTATGATTTATGGTTTGAAAGCAGCATAACCTGCCGACATAATGGTCATGATCAGTGTCTCACTGACTGTTTCAGTCTCACATAAACATCACAACCCATGACTATAGTACAGTACATTAAACAACGTTAAATCTGCATATTTCTATTGCAGACTGCACAAGTTGACAACAATGACGAGGACGAGTTATCCGACATCCGGAGTGTCACAGGCGAGTATCCAGCCATTGTTGGATTCGACTTCAAAGACTTCCAGGATGATCAAATCAAGATATTGACCTACCTTGTCAAAAAGGCCCATGCTAGAGGACAGGTCATCACGGTGTGTCAGCACGCCAGCAACCCTGTCACAGGTGGTTCCTTCCATTTATACTGGGACAATGGCACCGTGCTCCATACTCTGCGACGGTCTCTTCCAGGCGGTGATGCCAATCCTAAATTCAAAGCCAACTTAGACAAAATAGCTTCCTGGGCCAACAACCTGAAGGATGAGAATGGTCGACCTATCCCGATCATTTTCCGACTGTTCCACGAAGCCGACGGTGATTGGTTCTGGTGGGGTCTCAATAATCGATGTCAGAACACCCCTAAAGATATCAGGGACATCATGAAGTACACTATATCCTATCTGAGGGACACAGGGAACGTCCACAACTTCCTCTACACTTTTACCATCGAATGCCTCACTAAAACAGACAACTTCCACCTTCTGTATCCTGGGGATGATTACATAGACGTCATATCTGTTGACTACTATTACAAGTATACCCCTACCACTACGAAGGACATTCTGAAGACGAATATTGCCAATCTTGTGGACATTGCAGAGTCCCGTGGTAAGATTCCTGCTATTGCAGAGGCTGGCATGGCAGATGACGGGCTGTTTAACCATACCAACGCGTGGACAGACAATTATCTGTCGGTGCTCAAGACACAACCGAAGTTGACTCGTATTTTGTACATCTTAGGTTGGCATAACAGATGTTTGATAAACGACTACTGTCCATTCTATGTCCCCTTCAAGGGATTTAAAGGAGCTGATATATTCAGGGACACTTTCTATAAGGATCCAGTAACGGTATTTGAGAAAGAAATACGCAGTATGAAAGTGTATGGTTAACAAGGAAGACAGTACATCCAACATGGAAACTTTAGTTTGAAATTGTTTCGTTCCAGTTTCAAGTAAACGATTTGACAACACAATATTGTCTTTTGAGTTAACTATCATATTAACTGATGCTGAACAAAATGTCCATCTGATCTGTGTTTCAAAGGATTCTATATTACTCAAGGCGAGAAAGCGTTATACAAATTTCACTCTCTAGCCTCCAATTATGGGCACTAGAAAGCGATATCTCTCTCTCGGGCACCATACGCATGCGATGACAACACTTTCAACATACAACCCTTGAAGATCCGGGTTAGAATTGTTTTCAGCAACCCACGTCTGTCCTTAGAGGCGACTAACAGGATCGGGTTGTTAGTCCACTGTCTTGGTTGACACATGTCATCGTATCGCAATTACGTAGATCCATTGGCGGATCCAGAGGGGGTGGGGGTGGGGTGGTCAGTGGGTTCGACCCCCCTTTTGAAAATGACTTAAGACCACATTGAAGATTTCTTTTACGTTGGCGGAGCCCCTGAAACCCCCCATTGTATACTACTTACTACACATAGACATCTACAGACAGTATTTTCCAGTGTGTTGTACACCCATTAAGACATACACCATCACCAATGTTTCTGGATTGACCTCGCCGCGCATTGCTATTACTACGTAAAGCAATATATATTTATTCATTCTGCATGTACATTTTGCGGGTTTGTAACATGTCCTTTGACGCCCTTCCACAAACATTCAACACGAATCTGTGTCATTTGACAATAATCCTCACACTAGGGAAAATGTGTATCTGATTCATCAAAACCCAAGGTTGTATTAAACTCTTCTAGGTCGAAATCGTCGATTGAAGATTTGGTTAAGTCGGATATATTAGAGCATGACAATGATATATGTGAAGCTTGCGAAAGTGGATCGCCTGAGGATGTGGACAGAGATATATCAAGTGATGAGGTGAAGTCAACCATACTGAATATGAAATCAAATAAAGCACCAGGATGTGATAAAATCACTTCTGAACTATCATAATTCTCTTGATATTATTGTTATATGTGTGCAACTGTTTAACGAGATAATGAAGTCTGGTGTCTATCCAGAATCATGGTGCAGAGCTGTTATATGTCCGCTGTATAAAGATGGTCAAAAGAACAGTGTGAATAATTACCGAGGTAATTCTTTACTACCCGTTTGGGTGAAAATATTTACAAACATCATCAACGAACGTCTTCAACAGTGGTGTGATGACAATAATGTAATATATGAAAACCAGTTTGGTTTTAGAAAAGGACGTTCAACAGTCGACAGTATTTACACGTTGTACAGAACGATACAGACATATTTATACAAAACAACCGGTGGAAGATTTTACTGTCTCTTCATTGATTTAGCAAGGTGTTCGATTGTGTTGACTATAACTTGCTCTGGTATCGACTTATGAAATACGATATTCTTGGAAATGTACTAAGAATTCTGCGAGATATGTATTCGAAACTGAAATCCTGTGTGAGAACCGATAATGGTTTGACAGGATATTTTAACTGTTCTTTTGGAACGCGACAAGGATGCATGGTCAGCCGGACACTCTTTTGCCTATTTATAAATGAATTGTCAAACGAACTAAATCAAGCTAAGTGTTGAATATATATTTCAGAAGAAGAATCTAAAATCTGTTCCTTAGTATACGCTCATGATGTTATCAACGCTGCCGATAGCACTGGAAGATTTCAAGAACAGATCGATTGTATCAGTGAAGTTTGTAATAAGTGGGGGACTTTCTTTTAACATGAACAAATCTAAAAGACGTTTATGACCTTATTAATATTGGAGTTACAGGGAAGAGAAGATACAGACCGTTTCATTGTATTAATATCTGGGACTAATTTTCACTCCTAAATTGGCATGGACAAAAGCAACGTCAACACTGGCAGAACAAGCGGAGAAAGTATGCCTCAACATCTATAAAATACATGATCTATCTGGAGGTTTATCCATTAATACTGCAATTAAGATGTCTGAATCCATGGTTTTACCAATATTAACACATGGGTCTGAAGTCAGGTGTTTCGAATACAATGACACAATCGAGACGGTAAAGAATAAATATTACAAGCCGAACCTTAACCTGCCAATCAATGCAAGCAGCGACTCTGTTCTTGGGGAAACCGGAAGATGGCGAGTTCATGTATATTATATCACTAAATGTATTAAATATTGGACGAAATTAATCTCTATGAACACTGACCGTCTACCTAAACAAACGTATAGATTAGATGGAGCTGGCCGTATATCTTGGCCAACGTATATAAAGAACATTCTCTTCAGATATGGATTTGGCTACGCCAGGATATTACACGATGCTTGAAATCTCAAAATTCAAACAACGTATCATGGACAGCGGTGGACTGAAAACATGTCTAAAAAATCGAAAATTAAAACATATTCAACTGTCAAATCAGTACCAGTGCCTTCAGTAAGTAGATAAGAAAACCTCAACAAGATTCCACTGCAGCTGCCATAAACGTACAAGCGAAACTGGACGTCATACTAATACAGAAGACGCCAAAAGATCATGCCCACAATGCCAAAAATTAGGTTTTAATTTCATCGAAAATGTCATTTCTTACTTATATGTAATTCATATTCAGCATTACGGCAAAATTTTATCGATAAATATTTTTTACACTAATCCATCATATGGACAATTTGTACATCTTATGTCTTCTAAATGTAAATACACTGTTACATAACTCTCGAAATATCTTTTCCACGCATTTAAATTACGAGAGTCATTCAATAATCACTGAGGTAATTTCCATGTGTTATAACCTGCTCATGTATATTTGTATTATGCATGTTCTATGGGCCTGGTGCCTGAAACTTGGAAATAGAATTCTAGAGAAACACAAGGTCTCGGACCTGCAGCTGCATTTACTTCCGGTTTAATAGCCTAAGTTGTGCTACTGTACCGCCAAATCCCAGCCTCAAAGACTTTCATCATCCAATGAAGTTTCATTGTGTGTAATCATCATAAATTAATATGAAGACAATTTATCAAGTGTTCTAAATGTTACACAATGAGTAAAACACTTTCTAATTTTTCTTTTGTTTTATCTCACTGTTCTATTGCTGAGTGAGCTTAGAGATGAAGAAAATATGGATGAAGGGACGAAGGCCAAATGATACCATTCACTTAGAAGAGTTGTTGCTTCTCCTGCAGGAACCATTGGTACTGCACATAGTGAGAACAGGACTATACGCTCAGTCATTAAAAGAAATTTTAAATTTTGCAACTTTTGCTGATGGGTGGAACTACTGACAGCAAAATCCCACAGTTTCTACTAGTATATAGTTCTTGATATTGCTTCGCAACGTTTGGCTAAACCAGAAGCAGATTCACCTGAATCAGACAAAGAGTGCATCTTCCTGAATCGAATCTGAAATTTGCAAGCAAGGGAATTGGTGCTTAAAAATATCTTCCATCTGGTGCATGCAAATTTAGAAAATATTTGATAAAAAATGTATGAAATTTTGTTCCGTAGACAGAGTGGTTGGAGTCGGCACCATGATTGGAAACGATGGTCCCAGAATCATCAATGACTAATGCATTTATTGAAGAGTGCCTTCCAAACATCAGTCCATCATAATAATACTAGGTTTGTTTGATATTATTTCAAATAGCACATTTATCATTGTTTTTTTAATACTAGTGCACATACCCCCAAAAAAGTAAAATATTGTAAGCTATTTTATAGTAAACTTGTAAGTTGATATGAATTGAATTATGATATGTGTTATTGTTAGTTTGCAATTGTATCAATGACAACATAATTAGACAAATGTCTGGTTTATAAACAGAGCCCTTGATCAGATGATCATGTTTCACGACTACTGTGGACCTGTAGCAGCAGAGTCTATTTCTTCACATAGATTGACAGCATCCAAGACAGATGAAGTTCAGCTTATTACGACCTCAACACAGACTACTGAGACTTTGGAAATCTTTTCTGCTCAAAAGAAAATCATCCAACGCAGTGTATCCACTTAGACTGACACAGTTCAAACATGTGACCAAGCTACACAAAATACACTTCCATCATTAACCTTTGAGGATATAAAGGGAGATTCAGAGATAGTGAACTTTTATACAGGAATGGGGGATGGTGACTCTTTTAAATTGTATGTTTGATGCATTGTTTGATGCGCATGAGAAGGAATATCCGCAATCTAAAGTTGGTAGGCCGCAATCAATGACTCTTATTGGCCAGTTTTGGTACTCTTGCGCCTTTGCCTAGGACTTTAAATTGTCGATCTAGCAAATCGCTTCCACGTTTCAAAATCAACATGTGCCCAAGTCATAAACAAGTGGATAGATATATTGTATGAGAACTTGTCATTTTTAGTAGAGTGGCCAAGTAGAAATATTATTGATGCAACAATGCCAAGAAGATTCAAGGAACTGTACCACAAAACCAAAGTTGTGCTTGACTGCACCGATCGCGAGATCTGTACTGAGAAACCATATTCTGTAACAAAACAGTCACAGATGTGCAGCCATTACAAGAGTCACATTACTTACAAAGGTTTGGTTGGTATTACTCCAAATGGTGTTATCTGTTTCGTTTCTGATCTGTGGTCTCGAGCTATAAGTGACAGACAAATTATTATGGAATCTGGCTTACCAGACTTATGTAAATATGATGATGCTTTAATGGCAGATAAAGGTTTTTTGATTTCTGATTTGACAACCCCAAAGGGCATTAATCTGATTATTCCTCCTTTGAAAGGAAAAAACAGCAGTTGTCATTGGCAGAGATTCAAAAGAATTGCAAACTTAAGGATTCATGTAGAGAGACATATGGAAAGGGTTACAAAAATTAGAATTTTACAAGGTATCATGTCTATTACAATATCAAATTCTGTGAACAAAATCTGGAAGATCTGTAATGCGTTGACCGCCCTTTTACCACCATTATATTCACATGAATGTTAGGATGATACATTTCTTGAAAAATATTCATAAAGACATCACTCAATATTGGTAATCCTTATTTGTAATGACCAGTTATTTCAGCAATGCATGAATTTGAAATCACAAAATAGAACAAATATTTCCTTTGAGGTTTTATTGGAAGTAGTTTTTCAACGATTTGTTGTTAATTACAAGCAGTATTCAAAGTGTAACAATTTATTCAGTTTCAGTTCAGATTTTACACATTTATAAATTCTGTCGAGTGAATGTTATTGTCATCTTTTAAGAAGATGACACATATCACATGCATATCAGTTCATTAAAATGATAATGCTACACTAATTAGTTCTGTGGTTTAATTGGTTTTCGTTTCACTTACAACTTTTCTTAAAGAATTAGACATCATTCGTTTGCACTCTCAACAAATTATGTTTATGTACACTGAACGTTGCTATTTCTCCCTGCAATTTAAGAAATTTGTAGTTACAATATTTAAACTGAATTTGAAATAGACATCATATACAGTGATGGCATTCTAGTTCTAAACACGACTGGTAAATATTTCTGGAATTACAGCTGTCATGCAAAAGCTTTCAAGTTTCTTTTAGCATTTCATCCCACTTTTTTCATTAAACTTTATTCTGTGGATTGAAATATCCTTCAATGTCCACACAACAAAATCACACCACTTTCTATTCGTAGCAGCCATCTGGCCCAGAATTTGAAAGTAATAAGGATGTTTTTCTTTTAGCTTGAAACTTCCATTTTCATCAACTGAACAGAAGAAATTTGATATCTCTGTATACCGATGGACATTTAATTCAAGAACACCAAGTGATGAATCACATATATCATAACTAATACAGTTTATCAAACCATCTGGACTTGATCCCAAATACGAAAACTGTGTGTTAACAATTAGTCCACATTGTGATACTTTCATGTTGGGGTGCTTATTCATCATATTCGCCAAATAATGTTGTCTTGCTGTAGACTCATGTAATACTCCCCATGTATGAACTGAAGTATAGCCATTCCCATATCCACGTACATGATGAACAAATCGGTCTGGTTCTGTTGATGACCTGCGATTGCAAACTCTTCCAAAACTCAAACTTGTTTTTCTCCCTTTCCCAGCTTCTTTCCATTTATGGTATTTGTGTAGACCCCTTGTCAATTCTTCAATAGTTGCTGCTTCTTCTCCAGATCGATAGCTTCCATGTAATCTGTAAACACATCTTTGCAGCAATCTGATGAAAGATCTACATGATTTCTTAAGCGACGATCAGCGTCAGGAAGTTTTGTAAGACTGGAAGCTTCAGGAAGCGCATGAATATCTGTATTCGTGTTAACAATCCACCCACACTTTCTCCTTGCATCAGTAGCACCCTGTTTGTCCTAAACCTGTCAACATCCATCTTAGTCTCGGGCATACTACTGTTCAAACACAAGGTAGATTTATCATTTACAGATGACACACTGACATTTTGATCAACATTATTGTCCCTTTTCCGTTTTAATACCCTCTTTCTGCCACTTGGCATCAGTTGCAAGTTGTCTGTTGTCACTGGAACAAGTTTCCTGTCTCGAGGAACCATCCACTTACATTTTTTAGATGTACAGGACAAGGATCCATCTTCTTTTTTCTGTGAAATGTCGATTAGAGCATACAGGGCCCAGATTTTCGAAGCTCTCTTAGCGCTAAGATAGTCGTAAGTTATTGTTAATGTATGGCACTTACGACTATCCTAGCGCTATGAGAGCTTCGAAAATCTAGTCCCAGAAGTGCTGAGACATGATTACAAGCTTCACCAGCTCTGAAATAGAAACGGGCAACATAAAGATATTGAATATAACACCGTCAAACCAGTCAATATAAAATGTTTTGATGAATGAAGTCACACTGTCACATAAGATTCAAAAACAAATTCATAATAACAAAACATGTAGGTAAAATAACATCCTGAGCTTGGCTTATTTTTACAATATACAGTTTCGTAGCAGTCCTTTTGAGTCCATCATGATCATAAAAAGGTTGTAGATCTAAAGGTAGAAAACAGATAATGATGAAATATAATGATCAGTGTTGATGATTAATTCATCCATGACTAAAATTGAAACATCTTTGATGTAAGTGAAATTTGATAATTGAACAATGAATTCACAATAGAAAGCAAATTGCTTGATGCAAGTGTATACATACCCGGCTGCACATGTGCAATATGCTGAGTTGACGTGACCTGTCACCTTGGATAGACACACCCAAACTTGATGATCTGGATTTGTCTTTTTGTCTGCCGTTGGAAGTGAAGGAATGACTGCGCATCTTATAAACATGTGGTCGCAATCGTCACTGATAGTGTGAAGGTCAACATTATAGACATGGCCATCTTCATAAAAAAAATACAGCCTTCAGTTGACGTAGAGCTTTCATCTGTTTAAAATCTACAGACCGATATGTACTCAAAACTAAGTAATTATATGCATCTTTTTCTGTGAAAACCGGCAACAACCAAATGTCCACGAATTGGGCTCCGGCATACCGGAACCACTTGGCGTAAACAGCTTCGACGTTTTGGTGTTTCCAACGTTAATTTGCGAGTCCAGTTTAAGAGAATAAGCACTTTTAGCACGCAGTACTAATTCCTCTTTCACCTCTGACACCTTCTGGTTCCTTTCCCTGAGATAAGTACGTAATTCTTTCACTGTCATGACTTCAAAATTAACCTCCCGTCTATCTAAATCATTATGAAAATCCGCCATCTTTGATCAAATACTGACCGGAAGGGAGTGACTGGGAAGGGAGACAACTCTAAGTTACTTTTTAAGGGGAAGTAACAACAATTTTCGGAAGGTCGAATAGGGATTACATCTTTAAAGTCATTATGGATGCTGTCGAAACATATGCCAAAAATGGGTCAGAAGAAAAGAGGAACCTGCAGAGCAGAGCGTCTTGCTAAGTCAGTGTGTGATGTTGTCATTGGTAGAATGCACAAACTAAAAAGGAGGAAAATCTTGGAATAAACTCAGTGTGTCCCAGCCAGCTGTCATCAAAAGTTTGTAGTTGTTCGGTAGTTTGTTAATGTTATGAAAAGGACTCTAATATCATAACCATTATATGTAAACACTATTATATAAATGTTAACTGAGGAAGAAATGTGCCTAAATCTTTCAACAGTGGTGTCAACTTTTGACTTGTCTCTTAAACCTGAAGACATGTCCATTCCTCTTTTGTATTGGATTCCAGAGCTATTGTACTACTAAATTCCTGTCTCAAAGATTAACCATAATCCTTAAACACTATCAAGGGAGGATATTCACGGAGCGTATTGGAGACAAGGGAATTAATACCCCGTGGATTCTCAAAAACTCAAAGGGTCTGCTTACATTTTTACAATCTTAGAAACGGAGCAAGTTCCGGTCTGTCAAAAAATTACATTTTTCAACGTTGTATACCACTTTCCCACATGGCAAACTTAAGGGAAAACTTCATTCCTTGATCCATGGGGAATTTGTAAACAAACGTGGTGAACACACATATACATAATTATCACTTATGACCGCACCCCCGTTTTTGTCCGGACATGTAGTCTTCCATTTGTGTCAAGATCGTTTAGTTGAGGGTCAAACTCGGGTTTCAATCGACTTGCAGAAATAACAATAAAGAATTGGAAGGTGTCATGAGTGGTGATCGATAGGCCAACCACCCATGATTATGTTTACATTAAGTTTTAATCGATTGCATGCGATGGTAGCGTGGCGATCGGCAAAGCAGGCGGGTAGGGTACACCAAAGTGTCCAACCTTGTCATAATGTATTGTACCGTGAAGCATTTCGAGTCGGGGGTCATCTCAATTTTATATATTTTTTTTCAAAATCTTTAATCCTCGCAAAGACAAGAGGGCCTGTGCAACGAGCACCGAACCATAGTTTGGACGATTGCATTCAGACAAGAGGGAAGTAAGCATTGGCGCAAGGTTTCACACGGTTCATGGTCAGTATGTTCAGGCATTATCTCGCACAGTCCAGATTTTATGCTTGTCCACTGTTGCTGCTTTGGGACAAATTTCATACCTGACCTTATACCCATTACAACTGTAATCCACTGTACTCCATTGGAGGACGATGTAAGATTTGTAAGCCAATCTAATTTTAGATTACAATTGTTACTTGTATATCATTTCTTTGTCGTGTGCTGGGTTATCACTAATTTCATTTACATAATTAATTTCTCTGTTAAGTATGGGGCGGTGGGGTATCCTGGTGGTCCAAAGCGTTGGCTCGTCACGCCGAAAGACACGCTCCGTGACACTGCTTGAATATTGCTAAAAGCGGCGTAAAACCAAACTCACTCACTCACTCGATTTAGTATATTTCCCTTTTGAAATCGACAAGGTTATTTATGAACATGTGTTCAGGACAGGCCTCGTTGTTTGCGCACATCCATAATTCATGAAAACTTCCTACGTACGCCAGTCAAAGCTGTTCACCTATACACGCTTCATAATGAATCAATGTCACCATGTTGGTATAAGAGAGTTTACGACCTGACAAGATTCCACAATCAGGGCACGGAGTCATCACTGGTTTATGCCCCACCACTCAAGGCGCTGAGCTTAACCTGGTCCCAGTGACATTGATTACCACGAGACGATGCTTACTGAATGCTTGGTGCAAGTTGAATGTGTTGAATGGGTACCCTTTATGGGTTAAGGCGTTCGCTCAGGTTCAATTCCCAACCTGGGTACAATGTGTGAAGCCCATTGCTAGTGTCCACCGCCGTGATATTGCTAAAAGCGGCGTAAAACTTAACTCACTCACTGAATGTGCGAAATGGCAAAATGTGGCACAATTAGAAACGCACGTGCATGAATGCTCACAAAAGTATGATGTGAGTAATGTCGAGATGTGGGACAATGAGAAATGCACGTGAATGTTCACACAAGGAGATGGGAATAATGTCGAGGTGTGGGACAATGAGAAATGCACGTGAATGTTCACACAAGGCGGATGTGGGTAATGTCTAGATGTTGGACAATGAGAAATGCTTGTGAATGTTCACACAAGGTTGATGGGAGTAGTTTCGAGATGTGGGACAGTGAGAAA